CCCCAGACACCCCAGACGACACACCAGACACCCCAGACGACACCCCAGACACCCCAGACAGACACCCCAGACACCCCAGACAGACACCCCAGCGCAGAGCACACCTGCTCTCACGGCAGAACCTCCTCGTGAGGGAGGCTGGAACACCGAGTGGCCAGCGGTGGAGACAGGATTTAAACCACCGTGAGTCACCCCCACGGGCTGGTCACAATCCACAGGTCGTATGCAGGAGCCGAGTGGAGAGGAGAGATTTCCCGAGGAGCAGAAGCAGCAGGATGAGAGCTTCAGGAACTGGTTCACCAACCGTGGAGACTTGGTAGGTCTGAAGCCTCAGGGCAGGCCGCCGGGGACAGCTGCAGCTGGGGTCCCAGACTGTGTGCCGGCAGATTCCTCGCTGCCTGGAGGGCGGTCTGTCCTGGCTGGGCCTTCAGCCATTACCCTTTATTCCAAGTCCACTGAGTTTAAATTAATCTCATCCAAAAAACATCTTCTCAGAAACATCCAGAATAAGGTGTGACCAAGTAGCTGCACACTGTGGCTCAGCCAAGTTGACACCTAACATTAAGCCCAGGGAGAGAAGGGAGAAGGGAAGAGGTGGCAAGACCAGGAGCCGAGGTAGCCCTCCGAGGCCACAACACACTCAGAGTTAGGAGGGAAACTGCTGGGACAGCCATGTTTGTGCACAGGTTGACACTGGGACACCCAGGAGTACAGGAGGCAGTGGCCGCCTTGAGAAAATAGCCCACCCGCTCCCCAGGAGAGCAGGTAAATCAGGACAGGGCTTTGCTCCTGCGTGGGTGGGCGCTGTCACTTTGAGCCAAGTTTATCAGCCTTGGTGTGGGGGGCAGCTAATGTTAGGTTGCTTCCTGTGTCCCCTGGTCTGTGCTTCTGTCCCCAGCTGAGAAAGAGTTCCTGTCTATGCTTTTGTCCTTCTTTGAGACCAGCCTATCCATCTCTGAGTTCAGAAACCCAAGTTCCCCTTGCATTCTGTTCAGCTGAAGGCCCGTCCACGTCACGGTGCCCACACTGTCCTTTAGATGAAGTAGAGTGTGAGGGACAGAAAGTCAGAAAATGTTCTCTTCAACAAGCAGAGAGCCAGCCTGTCCCGGGGGACAGTGTCCACAGTTTCTGGACAGAACCGCACTTGTGACAAAGGAGACATTCAACAATGCTTCCAAGAGCTTCCTTTGAAGAGGCTGGCTCTTCCTCTCCCAGTACCACAGACACGTCCACCGCCCCCATCAGAATAGCTCTTCCCTGCGCCCGGGAAGACGACCTCACAGCTGCCCGGGGCCAGCGGCCCTGGCTGTAAGGGAGCCACAGAACCTCAGCTATTTATAGCCCCCGCACCACTCCCTCCCCAGGCAGCTGCTAACTTTGGCCTGAGATTAGAGGAAGAGAAGAAAGACAGATCCCCACACAAAGGATATTACAATGTCCAGCTCCGATGACCCGCCCGACTACCCTGTCAATTCAGACTTAGTGAGGAGACTGAAGGCCGCCCTGGACGCCAACGATGAGCGTTCACTGAGGGAGCTGATCGGCTCGGAGGTGGAGCCAGTGGACGCGGTGATCGAGCTGGCCAACGACGACTGGATGAAGGACCCCTCGGCGCAGCTCCCGTCTGGCGCGCTGCTAGGTAACCAGAATGAGGCCCCTGGGGGAAGGAGATGGCTAACTCCCACACCAGGGTGGGCCATTCCTGAGTAGAGGGGCCGACGGCAGGAAGGGGCCAGGACAGTGGCTGGATATCAGATTCCTACTGCAAAGATCTTAATGGAGCGAGATTCTCCAAAGATACGGGGTGTTTATTAGGGAGTGGGCATTGCAAAGGGAACACCATGTGCCACAGTGAACCGCGTGCAAATCGAGGAGGCAGAGGCCAGGGGCAGAGCTAGAGGCAAATGAGAAGGGCCACATATTTGCAACAATAGCCCTTGGCCACAAGGATCGACAGCCGGCATCCGGCATCCATCCGAGGCTGGACGGGCAGTGGCTGGGCAAATGGCCCTGCAGAAGCAATTTCTGTGCAAGGTCATGGTGGCCTCTGGACAAGGCTGTGGCTCTGGCAGAGCCCTTGGTGCAGTCTTGGTTTCCGGGCACACTGTGGGGCCCCTCCTTCACACCCTCCCGGCTTTACCTGCTGTCTGTCAGGACTGACATGGTGACTTCATCTGGGCTCTGATGGCTTTCACATAAACCCACACTGCGCCCAGCCTGGTGGGTGTCTCGCAGGACCAACAGCACAGCACCCCACAGGATGATTCAAAAGAGAAATCCACCCTGGGTGCCCCGTCCTGGCACAGGGCTGTTGTTGGGTCTCCGTGTTCTCCCACACGGGTCCGTCTGCCTCCTTATAACCGCACCATAGACAGCATTTTGTGCTCTTTCTTGAGATCCAAAAACCTGCTTTCCATGTTGCCACCTAGGCTCCTGAATTTGTGTTAATCAGCTCTTTGTGGCTGTGACCCAAGCACCTGACAAGAACAACTTAGAGGAGGAAAAGTTTATTTGGCTCACCCTTTCAGAGGTTCAGTCCATGGCCACCTGACACCACTGCTGTGCGTCCAGGTGAGGCAGAAGAGCATGGTGGGAGGCTATGGAGGAGGAAAGCCACTCTGCTCCTGATAGCCAGGGAGATACAAACCTCAAAGTCCCGCCCCCGAGACCTACTTCCTCCAGTCCCACACGCCCTGCCTACAGTTACCACCCAGTCCGATAGTTCTAGCTCTTTCAAATTATTAATCCAGAAATTGAATTAACCCACACATCAGGTTGTGGTTCTCATGACCTAATCCTGAGCTTTGTGGGACACCTCAGCTCCAACCCCTGAGCCCTGCAGAGGTGACTGATCACAAAACGACATGGGAGGAGGGTATTGGTTTCTATTTTGGTTCCTATAAATAATGCTGTAACTAGCATCTTCATTAGAATCCACATGACTTTTTTTCTGATTTGGGGTTTATCCTTAGGATACATTCCTAGGAGCCCATTACTGGAATGGGAATATAAATTTCCTTGAGTATAATTCAAATTGTTTTCCAAAAGGACTTCTATTCCCTCTGACGGAGAGCTGTTTGCCACGACCTCTCCAACAATGAGCGCCGCAGAAAGGAATCTTCACATTGAAACATTTAAATCACTAACTTAATCATTGTATGTATGCAATTCTTTGCTGCCTGCTCGTCCATCCTCTCTTTACAGGCCAGGACAAGGGACTTTGCCTCTCTTTGGAGGCCTCTTCACATGAAATGCAACTATCTCTTTGAGTGCTTTCTGTCACTTAATAGAACATCTGCAAGGAACAGGCACAACCCCTGCTTGGGTTTGCTCAGGATGTCTCCCCTGGCCTGATTTACTTTTAATTGTATCCTGCTATCTTCTAACTGGTGCAGTGTGCACCCTGGGAGGCCTGTCTTGGCTGAAGGCTCCTCTCTGCTCTCAGGGGGTGAAAGCGGGAGCCTTTCTGATCATAAGTGGCAATTTGACTAGGAGTGTTAAGCGCTGTCCTGACCCACCCTGCTGTGCCCTGTGCCCACCCTTGAGGCTGATCTTTATGAACTGCATCTATCCATCCCCTGCCCTCTGGTTCCTGTTGGCTGCAGCTTTTAGAAGGTGCTAGAAGAAGGGGAAAGGGCAGGGTATTTGCTCCCTGGGCCCTTCCCTGCCAGGTGGCCGCTGCAATTTTGCAACATCGTCCAGATGGGGACCCCGCTCCTGGCCGGCATCTCCTTCCTCCTCGCTGGCCCTTTGGGTGCAGGAATGGAGAACCTCCCACTGCGGCTCCTCCCCTGCTTGACTTCCCTCTCCTGCACCCTGTGGTCATGCCTCTGTCTTCTGTGGGATTCTGACTGGAGCAAGGTCGTCTCCACACATCCTCCTTTGCAGACCTGCCACGGCCGGCAAAGGCTTGTGCATTTGGAGCTCCTTCACAGCATCACTGCTGCTCATGCTTCTGCTGACCTGCCAACCTTCACCATCCCCGTCACGGGGCTGAATGCTTCAACCAGTGAGATTTGACTTGGGAAAGCCACACACCCTTCCCTTGGATCCATCAGCTCATGGACACCACCATACACAGGGACCATGCCCTGCTGGATGGCATGATTCCAGAGCACAGGGGCCACGGGAGGCTGAGGACGTATTTAGGCGCTGGATGATGATACACGGTATGAATAGGTGCGTGGTCAGGAGTGTCTTGTCACTGGTGATTTCATTTCAGACAGAGCAGGCTGCACTTCTCCCAAGGGCAGAGTTGTGTGTGTGGCGTGCCACTCTGACTAAATTGGGAAATTAGGGCTTGAAGGAGACAAAGAAGGCTGGGAGGTGGGTGTAGTCAGGAGGGGACTGAAGGCAGCTGCCCAGCTGCACCATAGCAAGGGTCTGGGATAAACACAGATGAAGGGACAAAGACAGGGAAGAGCAGGGCTGCTCGTGGGAAGGACTTGGGGAGGGGCAGGAGGCATGCAGAGGGATCTGCTGTTCTGTCGTGCGTGAAGTCTGCTCCGTGTGTGACGGAGAGTGGAGGGCGAACACAGGGTCAGCACAGGAAACTCCCTCCCAAGAGCCTGTGACGCAGAAGACGTCATCACGAGAAGCTCACGAGGAGCCCCGGGAAACAGCTGCCTTCAAATGAGGCTCTCAGGGTCAAGCTCAGGTTCTGCCACCAGTGAACTGTGTGACCTCAAGAAAGACACTTTCCCTCTCTGAGCCAGCACCTCCACTTACCAACAAAGATGAGGTAGGAGTCTGTTCCCCAAACAGAGGTCCTAAAGTTTCCTGAGAAAAGCTCCAGGGTGGGATGAGCTGGGAAGGGCTCCTTGCTATCCTACCCTTGGAGACTGGCACTCGGAGCCAGAGTGGAACAAGGGCTCGAGGGTTTAGCCACAAAGGGACTTACAGAGTGCAATCCTGCTCGCCATGATTTCTCCTCTGACCTCAACTTTGCTGATGACCATGGAAAGGGGGCTTGCAGATGCTCCTTGGGATCTGCTGGCCTGGGCTGTGAAATGGGTCTCTTCCTTCTCCATGCCGAGACCAGCATCCCCAGGATGGGAGTGGGTTCCTCTGCTCTCAGGGGACCCCTGAGGCCTGGCAGAGCATCCCGGAGGGAGCAGGAGCCATTGCATTCCGACGGACACGTGGGGACATGAGAGTGTCTGGAACTTGTGGAGGAGCCTGAATGCAGCCCGGATCAGGAGCGGACGCTGTGAAGAACCGAGGGCCTTCCTCAGGAGGAGGAAGGTGAAGGGCGGTAGCAGCAGGAAGAGGACCAGGCCAGGAGGGCGGAGAACCAAGGATGCCCAGCAGGGAGAAAGCATCTGCCGAGGTCATGGCAGCCTCCGCATTTGGGGAAGGGAGAAAAGATTTCCAGGACAGCCTGAGCTGACAGAATCCTGGGAGTCATTCAAAAAGACACAAGGTTGCAAAAACGGGAAAAAGTAACCATTCTCTGCTGGTTGACAGATCACACAGGGATCCCTCTAAAGCTAACCACCCTGTGAATTTTTATTTCCACTACTTTGAACAGAAGGGAAAATCATTTATTTTGATGTGTCCCGTCCAAGACAACGCAGGAAATGGCTTTTTCTGGAGAAGTCTTGCAGGTACCTATGTGCCCTGTGGTGTGGGCAGAGGTTAAAGGAGCAGGAAATTCAGCCCTGCAGATGACAGAGTAAATGTGCCTCCTGAGGTGGGCTGGAGACAGGAGAAAGGTCATCAGTCAGGGTCCCCTTCCTGGGGCAACTCACCTGTGCCCTGGCAAAGACACCAGCTCTCTAGCAAGACATGCCTTGGGATGCCCAGCAAGATGCCCCAAAGGGCATGGAAACTTCTCGAGTGCACTCAGCCTGCCCCAGTAAGAACCACTGTGATCCCTCCTGGCTCTGGATTGTCCCCTCCTGGCTCACCCTGCTGCAAGGAGTCCTGTGTTGCCAACTCTGCATTCCCACCATGGAGACCCTCGACACATGAATGGAGTCCAGCAATGTGTAGTAGGCCATCTATATGAGAGAGAAAGACACACCTCCTCTTTTGCCAGAGTGTAATATCCTTAGTCTGCATTTAATACTGAAATATATGGCTGTCTTAGTCTACTTTCTGAGGCTATAGCAAAATGCCTGAAGTTGGATACTTTAAAAAGGAAAGAGATACCCCTAGTGGTAGTACACACTTGTAATCCTACCTAGGGTTTGAAGTCTGGCTTGTGTTGGGAGGAGTGCAGGTGGAGGCCAGCCTGGGAAACTTAGGTGAGAACTTAAAATAAAATACATTTTTAAAAATGGGGATGGGGGACGGGATGTAGCTCAATGAGAGCATTTACCTAACATGCGCGAGGTCCTGAGTTCAATCCCCAGTACTGCAAAAAAAGAAAAAAAAAAAAGGAAAAAAAAGAGGTTTATTTATTTCACAGCTTTGGCAGCTGAACGCCAAAAACCAGGCAGCCCTTGAGCAGAAAAGACAGGATGAGAAAGGAAGCCGGAGACCAGGAGGGGCCCATCTTGCTCTTTTCAACACAACTTTTCTCCAAGTATCTCACTCGGGCCCCAGGAGGTCTGCACTCACCCCTCTGAGAGTGTGACCCTGTGACTTCGTCACCTCCCACTAGGCCACACTTCTGAGAGGCCCCACCAGCTCCCA